TGAACATGAGTGGGGTCTCCTGCACATAATGTTCCGGGGGACTTTTAGGAGTTTGTGCACCACTCTTAGAAGGGGATTTGGCACCTGAAGAAAATTCAACAGCTTTATGTCTAGAGGAATCAGAAGGAGATAAGCTAGAACTCTGAAGTCTGCTGGATTTTGTTCTAATGTGTTGTGATGTTGATGCAACTTCATTTATGGCACCTTCAGTGGACAAAGTCACACTGTTCTCTTTCAGTTCTGCTATCTGTAGAGTGTTATTAGCATCTGTCACACGGGTGGCTTGATCACGCCCCATTTCATCTTCAGCTGATGACAAAGATGACAAGGAGCTACATCTTGAAAAACATATTGGTGTGTCTTCCACACAGTAAGTTTGTATGGTTTCCTGATTAATAGAGGGAGTCTTGCAGGAAGCAGTCTTTTGAGCATGACCACCTCTGTTCTGTGCAGAACTAGGGTGAAGCTGATTCTGTCTCTTTGAACTAGCAGAAGGGGCTGATGTGTTCCCACTACTTGAGGAAATATGGTCAGTTCTAGTGCTTTGCACTGATGAACTCTTAGATAAAGTAAAAGATGGCTTCTGAGAAGATGGAGGAACTTCTGTTGAATACTTTAGACTATAATCAATAGGCTGATCTACATGGTGTTCCTCTTCACTGTACTTTATGCTATAATTGGTTGGTCTGTCTTCTTCCTCTTCATGTTGCTCCTCCTCAGAATAGCGCTCACTGTAGTTTGTTGGCTTATCATCATCATAATCATCAACCTGGCACAAGGACTGACTGACTTTCTGATTCATTCCAAGAGTTGAGCCTACTCTGTTCTGATCTGAACCATTGGATCCTCTTGATCTAAAAGGAGAAACACACTCTTGTTGTCCAAAAGGTGACTGATATTTCATGTGTTTATCATCTCCGCTTTCAGCATATACAGGGTAAGTTGCATTTTGGCTCCTTGACTGCCTTTGTTCGTTTTGTTTTATTTCATCATCTATTATGTGCTTAGGCCTTGCCCATCTTTCATTCTGAGAGGGACTCTGCCTTCCAGAATTTAACTGTTCATCAGAATATTTAAGACTGTAGTTAATAGGAGTGTCTAGTTCTCCATCATTGTCATCCATATGATTTGCACTATGTATCTTATGTGCCAAGTCAGCTGGGTATTGACCATAACTACAAAACTTACTTTCATCATCTTCTGAGTACGATTCAATGGAAGGCTTCATTTGGCCTCTTTTGCCATAGCCATCACTACTGCTGACGCTATTTAAACTATCATTTGAAGCTCTCTTGTATTCCATTTTTGCATAAGGCACAGGACATGTCCTGCTGGAATTTTCAGATTTAGGGAAGTATGTATTTGAGTGAGTATGGGCAGTGGATGTTCTTCTTGGAGCATTTCTGTCTTCTGTCAAACAGTGCATTTCAGAAGTGGAACCAGAACTTCTGTCCTCTTGTGGCATATGCATGTTTGTTACTTCTTCCATAACTTTGGCAATCTGAACTGCAGCAGTAGAAATCTGCATTCCTATTCTCTTAGAGGAGTTCCCAGTATTCTCTGTAGCTGAATGGTAACTACTTAAACCCACGGCACGATCCCTATCAAGACTTCTGTCTTTCTCAGATCGAGAACTTTCTGTATTTCCTCTACTGGAGGAAGAGGAGCCAGGCAATACTGTAGTATTTAAATATGGCGAAAGTACAGTCACATTACCTGTATTAAAGGTCTCTGCTCTGCAAATTCCATCATCATGCCGACTGGAGTCCAGGACATACTCACTGTATATATTTTGCTTATGTCTCTGCTTATTACGGTGAGAAGCTTTCGGGCTTAGATTATCGATGTTGTCAAAAGTTTCTGACAAATGCTGAGCATCTAATTCTGCTTCCAGTGCCTTTTGTTTTCTAACATGGAGAGATGGTAAGCTTGATCCTGGAGACATAATATTGGCATCCTTATATTTTGCTGGCCTATTTGCCATCAGGTTTCTTAGAGCTGCAGCACTGCCCATTGCTATCATTTTGTGTTTTGAGTGAATGAGATTTTTGAGCATGCTTACTGCTCCCATGTCCCACAGCGCCTCCTGATCTTTTGCATTTCGGGCAGAGAGATTCCACAGGGTCCCACACGCATTACTGACTATTGTCAAACTATGTGACTTCAGGTGCTGTAACAAGGTTTGTAAGCAGCTGTTCTCTCTCAAGATTTGCCTGGTGTTGAGCAATTGAAAACAAGAATTAGTAAGGAGAGAACAAAGGAAAAACTCATTAGGCTGTAAGAAAGTGTAGTAAAGATAAAACATGCTTTCTCACAGGCTAATACACCTTATTTTTCCTAAATTTAAATCCGAAAGTTAATCAAATTCTGCTATGGATATGGATAATTGAATCCCAAACAATGCCCTCCATATGAAGCAATTTTCTATTCTAGATGATTTCCTATAGTTGATATAACTAATGAATTTCTATTTCCAGGAAAAGCTTTTAGTAAAATTCATCATTTAACAAGCAGCAAATAAAATAATCCTTTTACATTGTCCTGTTATCTAAATTGAATACTTACCATTTAGTTAGATTAACTTAAAAAGTTAATTCTTTGTTACTATATTCAATACGTGCATTTAGAATTCAGTTATACAAACTGTCTGGTAAATATACTTTTGGTATCACTATAGATTTTCAGAAAATGAGAAAATATATTCACCTGTGGTCCTCATTAGTAGCAATTAAGCTAGAAACATTTCTTAATATTCCTCCTCCACTTTCAATGATGGCTAAAGTGTTTGTTTGGGTTCGGTATGTCAGTATGCCAACTAGAAATGAGAGAGCACCATCAACAGCACATATATCAGCTTTGTTCTCAGTGCAGTGTGCTGACAAATTCCATAAGGCACTCAAAACACTTTTTAAGGTGGATTCCTAGGAAAATAATAAAATGACAGAATTAGAGAATTTTCAACTATCGATAATAAGCCCTTGGCAATATGCAAGTCACTTCAATGAGATTTTAAGAAACTTGTTTTCCTAGTCTCATAGGAGAGGATAACTTTGAAAATGTGAACTGAGAGTAAACTAAAGCAGCAATTCCTACCAAACCTGCACACAGTCTGAAAATACAGCTTGGAGAAACAAACTGTTTCACTGTTTCCATCCCAGACTTGCAACTAATGAAATCCATTGACCATGGAATTTGTCTTCTTACCAATTAATTGCAGAAGTTAATTTTTGTTTGTCATGAAATCTCTACACATTGTATGTGGATGCCCAATATTTTGTTTCCTGCCTATTTTCTGCATAGGCCACTCTATTTCTCTCGTTTTCCTCATGAGTATGATTTAAGTAGATTTCAGTTTCTGCTTTCTATGCTGCTAAACTAGAGGGTTCTCTCTCCTTCCCTCATCTATGAATTTGTTATTGTTTGCCAGAAAGTTTGAGACACAATACATTTCAATTATCATAACAGTAAAAAGGGTCTGTAGATTAGCAAGCAAAAAGACTGTAGGGCAGAATATGATCCTGTCTCATTACCAAGTATATATATAGAGGATGGCAGAAGTGGAAGTTTATTTATTCACAAAATAAATCCTGCTTGAGCAAGGGGGCTGGACTGGATGATCTCTAGAGGTCCCTTCCAACCTCAGCCACTCTGTCATTCTGTGAACTACCTGAAAAACTTCAAATATTTGAGCAACTATTTATGTCAAAAGGATAACACCTGTATTTTGTGTAAAATTAATACAATCTCTTCAAGACTTATCACACATTCATTTATATATGATACCTTCTTAACTTCTAAAGCACATTCCATCAATGCTTTAACACTTCCGACTTCACGTAGAGTCTTTTTACTGTTTACATCTGCTCGCCAGGACAAGTTCCTCAACACACTTGCAATGACCTGCAAAACAAGAAGGATGAAAAAAAAAAGGCATCTCAGTATAGCTGTCTCTTTTTTTAGTAGGTTGTCAGCATATCCTCCTGGATTTCTGGTACAATATGGAATCCATCAGCAATGGTAATATTCAGCTACTGAACTAACCTTTTGCTGAAATTTTTCATTCTGTTTCTAGACAGACTGTCACAACATTTCAGTATAAAGTTAAATAAAAGGTATTGATTTTTGTGTGTGCATATGCAAAACAAAGATCTGAAAGCAAGTTCCCTGCTTTCCACAGCGGCTGAAAGACTGGACAAAAATTTCCGATTTGTGGTCAACTCTGAAGTCTGTGGAGACTTTTTATGTAATCGCAAGAGAGATACATATTTTTCTCAGCTTTTCCTATTGTGAAACAGGGCAAGGATATTTACCTCTCTCACAGTTATGCTATGATTACTTTTATTAATGCCTCTTTGAAGTCATTTAAAAATACACTGTGATCATCAGAATCCATACAAGAAGGGGAGCCATTTGACCTAAATTCTCATTCTTGACAGCAATGGGGACAATCTACCTGTGTCTTATATTGTTTCGTGTTTCAAGTCCTCATTTGCTTATGCTCAAAACACTGTCTCAACAGTGTTACAAGCAATGCTTGCAACAGTCTTTCAATACTTACAGTCTTCTTTCAGTATAAATATCTTGCAGTACTTAAAAGTCAGTAATTTCACTCATCAAATCTTTTCTGCCTTTTTTGACTATTATGTGGTTGGAATTCAAAAAAAAACCCCAAGTATTCCATGGACTTGACCCACAGTTAAGCATTTTTACATCAAGAAAATTGTCTTTCATAATTTACAGAATAGGGACAAATTGAAAGTTTGTATTAAAGATATTGCAGCTTAATGCTGACAAGACAATAAAAGAAAAAAAACACAATCTGACTAGGAAAGATGATGCATATTTAAAAGAGCTTCATAAAAAAAAGAGTGAGAGAGGAGAGTCACAGCACAGTAGTTACTACATGAAAGAAGAATTCAAACATAAAAATAGCATGTGGAGAAACAAAATATCTAGAGTGAAAGTAAACATTAGGAAAGGAAAGTAGAGATGGAGTAAATTCATGTAACACAATGAAAAAGGGAGAGATAGAAATGTCTAAGGTAAAGGAGTACTTCCTCTCAAAAGTTACCTGTTGCAAATCTTCACTTTCAGATTTTAATTGTGCTACAAGAGCTCTCATGCAGCCCTTCATAGAACATAATGTTGCCTGTTAGGAAACAAAAAAAAAGGGTGGGGGGGAGAATTACATGGCATCATCAGCTGTGCAATACAATGATACCACTGCGTAACTTTGTTCATGCTACAAAACCAGTAGCTTCAGCCTTGCAATTACCAATGGTTTTAAGAGACCATATTTTGTGAAGACTTAATTTATGACAGGAATTTAGGCTATACCATGTTTAAATATGAAGCAAAAAGTGAGTAATATGAAATACAGTTTTACAGTTGAGACTTTTATCTTTCTACTCTTAGCAGAAGACATTTTGAGAGTGCATGGAAATAGAAGTCTTGCCTGAATGAACTTATTTTAAAATACATATCTTTGAACGAAGTCTGAGACAAGAAATTATTTTTATTATTATTTTATCATTTGAGAGCAAAGTCCTCACTGGAAATCAAGAAATCTATCTTCTCTTCTGGTTATTTGTAGTAGTGGCCATATTATAAGACAGACATATTTCAAACATTTAAGTAAGACGATCCAAACTTGATAAGGAGATTTGGATGCAAATATTCATCAGACACTAATAGTATCATTATCAGTGCTACAAAATTTGACTCAACTATCACTTAATTATCAGAAAAACACAATCATTATCCATAATCATTGGTCCATAATCATCAGATGCTACACACTATGGAAAGACATAATGTATACAGAAATAAAACCAACAGATAAAATCCCAAGTTTCAGTGACAAATTTAAATTAACTTGATTTTATTATGAAATCTGATATACTTGCGATCCTGTTCTCTGGAACAGGATAGAATTCTTAGGTAATTTCTGTTACAAAACCAAATGCAAGTAATAAATATCCTATCCCAAAGATTTTCACCACACATAATTCAAAACAACCATTCAAACATGGTTATGAACTGAAATTACTGTATGCTTGAAATTCTACCCTTACCTTGTTGGCCACATCTCCAAAAGTCAAGTTAGTCAGCGCCATTCCAGCATACCTTCTTAATGTAACGCTATAGTGGTCATTTGTAAGTCCATACATTTCACAGTCCACTTGCAACAGCTCTGCAATAGCCTGCAACCCTCCTTTAAAAACAAAACCAAAAAACATATCAAGCCTAAGGATACACCTCCAGCAGCAAATTGCTTCTGTGCACACAAGTGTAATTTCATGTGTGTGAGATCCAAAACACTCAGGAAGATAAGGGCCAGTAGCACCATGTAGAAATGGCGGGAGACAGGTGGGAACATGAAGGAAAACCTGCATCTGAAAGATGAATTCACCCCAATGACATTGAAAGCTATTTAGAAAATCAATTTTTTAACTTAATTAACTAAATTATTAACTTAATAATTACTACTGCGTTTTATTTTCCCAGAAAAAAAATACATAAATACATTCATTGATAATAAAAACAGCACAGAATTGGCAGAGGAGGGATCAAAGTTCAGCCTGTTATACATATCAATGTTTCACCTGTGCATTAATCTCCTGAAAATTAGTCCCTCTGAGAATTAGTTTCCATTTGAAGTCCAATACATCTAAAATCACAAATGTTTTCTTAATAAAAATATTCTTTCAAAATTCACAGGTCATGGCAAGAAAGAGCATAATTTGTACAATAACCTGTCCAGTGGGAAACCGTCTAGCTACAAGTTCATTTAAATTGCATCAATTGCTAACAAGGCAACTACTGATAGAAACAACTGTTAAAAAAGCTTCATATTTAACGAAGGTTACAAGAAAAAAATATGAGCATTCCCAGTAAGCTTTTCAAAGGAGCTAGAGAAAAACGTTTGGTCTTACCAAGCTCATTCATTGCATGCCTGTGTTCTTCATCAAATGAAAGTTTCATCAACACACACACTGCAGGACAGATTTGATGATCAACTGGAGCTGGCACTGATATGGAAAGAAGTAACAATATTTCTGGGGTTCCTTAAATCCCCTGTTTCCTAAATAACAACTTCTAAAGTTCGTAATTTTTAAACTAGACCATCTAAAGTACAAATGATTCTTGCACTCAACTCCAATATCAATGACAGAGCCCACTGATTTCAGCAGTTTTATTGACATAAGGGCCCTCCCTTAAAATCAGAAGGAGCAGTTAGGCAGTCCAAAAGATTTTTTTTTCCCCACAATTCTCTTTTGAGAAAATCCTGATTTACTTAAATTGTCACTTCTCTGATAGTTAATATCAAAATATTTCTTATGTACAACATTCTAAATAAGTTTACACTATACTGAGAAAATCAGAGTGAAAATATTTAAATTACCCCTTCTCCTTAGAGGAATGCATATGTCCTGTATGAAGAGAAATCTGGGATTATTTAGATACATTTCATTATCCATTAAAATGTAAAATAGCAATGACTGTAAAATGTAGTATTAATTTGTACATTTTAAATATAAAATTCTAAAATTATGTCTGGAAATCATACCAAAGCCTTGTCATGTAAAGACTGAATTTATAAGTGGGATGTTATATCTATAACAGATACTATTTTCTAATACTAGCTCAGCTTGAATTATATACATATTTACTCAAAAACAAACCTAGCATATTTTCAACAAGAAATCAGAAACCTTTCAAACATTGACACATAGTTCACAGAACTTACTTGGGTTTTTGTCTTGGTCCATGCCTTGTTCATGTGCCTCCTGCCATTCCCAGCATGTTTCACAGTACGCACGGATTTGCTCCAAAAGATGGAGCACACGGATTTCCCGTCTGCCTCGTTTATCATCAGGCTGGGAGTGAATGATGTTATGCAGGGCAGCACTGGCCCTGGCACGGGCCTCTTTACTTCCACGAGAGTTTCCTAGCAAGACAGAGTCCTTATCGTTGCCATGTAGGAGCTGGATGAGGAGGGGAAGGCAGCCAGACTGACGCATGGCTATGCAGCTGTCTTGGGAGCTAGACATGGCCAGCAAAGTGCGCGACATGTCGTCCTTGTCGTGAGTACCAAGCATTGACAACAACGAATACACCATTTCCACCTGCGGGCCAGATGATTTTGAAAATGCAGTTACTATTCTAAAATGAATAGGTTAAAATGAAGTTCTGAATGGCACATGTGAAGAGGAAAGAAAATATATTTATATAATGCTGCCAGATTTGCACCACTTGGCAATAATTAAATAAGTACTGTCAGTTCTTCACCACTTACAATGCTCAATATTGCTTCTTGGTTAAATGACTAGAATAATTGTAACTATATTAATCATGAAGACTTCTAACTTTCCGTTGTATGAAGCACTAAAGAAACATACTGATGCATGTACTTCAGTTTGGAAATGCTATAAGATATTTTAAATGAATTTTATTTCAAAAAGAAAGTCACACTTTCAGTTAAAGGCACTCTTCATTAAAAATTATCTGATATCTGAATTTGGTGTAGTTATCCTATACAAAGGATAAGATTGATTACAATAATTTTAAATTTACTGTAACTAAAAACATCTTAAATATACATGTGAAAAAAAAATCCTTTAAAACTATTTCAATTAATCAATCATTCTTTGTTAGGATAAAAAAAAACGCACATGGGCCAGATTACTTGTAGATAATACAAAATGGACTAAGCTTTCTTCAAGTTTACAGTGGTAAAAGAAGTTGAACAAACAAATGCTCATTTAATATATACAACATAAAGTACTACGCATTTGTCAAACTATATAAAATCACTAGAAACCCACCATTACACATTAAACTCAGAGCAACCAAATTTCAGTTCGGTTGAGGGGTTACCTTAGCTGCTATGTAATATGGTGGCCAATACACTCTCAGGTTTGTCTTTCCCATTGCGTTTTCTTCAATAACTTCAGATTAAGCAACGTATTTGATTCTTTTAACAAACTTTTAACAAGAACATTATGATGAACAAGATAACATTGAATACTAGCTAGATACCCAAAGCTACAAAAGCTAACAAAACCAGTAACGCCCTAACACACAGCACAACATACAGAAACTACCAATGGAATTGCCAATAGCAATGGGTGTTTTTCCTTAGAATACACTGACTCAGCAAGAAATGAGGCTGGTGGATTCTTGGGCAAAGTTTCCTAACAGTAACTACATTTTTGCACAGGTTACCAAATCAATGAATGATTTGATTTTGCTTCTTCTGAGACAATATTTATGTCCTCAAACATGAGTTATCCAAAAAATGGATAGAGGCAGGTAGAGTAAGAAGCATATCTGTTAAAATTTTTCTAAAAATTTTTCTAAACATTGTAAATTCCTGAAACTATGGTAAAAGTAAAACTTTGTAAAATTGTATGATGACATGGAAATCCATTGGCATAAATCTTGGAACCAATTTTATGACAGCACAGCTTCCCAGTCTGGAAATCCTGATGTCCTAGGCTGGAAAAATCCAATACTGTATTGAGAGAATCCACTTGGATTCTTAAAAGAAAAGGAATTTAATCTGCTTTATGCATGCCTCTTGATAGACATTTTAAGCACCAGCTTAAAGCCACAGTAATTTAGACTCAGAAGGTAAATTTTTTCACAGAGACTAAAGCTGCAGAAGTCATCAAAATCTGGCCTCCAGACTTGTGGCACATGTATAGTACCGAACAACACATATTTTACAGAGATAAAGACAGAAAAAGTGTGTGTGTGTGTATACATACATAGAGGCATCTCCTTCACCATCTGTAAAACTAGTTCCTCTACTTAAGATATGTGCTGTTTTCCTCCTTTTCCTGCATTAATTTAACTATTTTCTTCCCCTGCAACACCCCTAGTTAAACCTATTTATTTGCTTACATCCTTTTCCACACAGTCCTTTTCCCTGTATTCAGGACTCTCCCCTTCCCAGCACCTTCAGGAATTGCTTTTTGTAATGGAAGGTTGCAAACAGATACTCCAGCTAGTGTTACCTCCAGTTGGTGCAGGCATAGGGTGCAGGGAAGAAATTACAACACTGCTTTAAAGCCAAACGCAATTTAATACTATGTCAAGCTAACAAGCCTTGCTTCCCAGGAGACTGGGCTCAGCCTCACAATGATAGGTCTGGTTGTTGATGCCAGGGGAAGCATACACTCAGTGATTCAGGAACTCAGTTGTATTAGACTTGCACTGTTCTTCCCTCTCTTTCCATGCTGCTCATATACTTTCAGTACACTCTCTATTGTCTGTTCATCTCTATTTTTCCATAATTTGGAATAAATTGCAGGTATGTAAAAGATTGTTTCAGAAGATAAAAAGTGCATCTGATTTCCACTGAAAACAGGGAAAGTGCAGCTAAGACGATTTGAGATAGCTATTAATGAAAAAAAATTACAAAAAATGACAAAGAGTGTTTATCATTAGTTTTTGCAAAAAGATTAGATTGCTGTCACATGCTGTCAAGAATACATTTGATAGAAATGATGTTTCACAGGGGAGCAGAGATGTACTGGATGTTCTCCTCAATGTCCCTTCGTTTTTCTTTTTTCTAAGAACATGCAATTCTGTTTTTTTGGTTACAATAACTAATTTGTATTTTCTTTTCTCTATGAGCCAATGCCATATTATCTCAATCATTATAAAGCAAATGAGCAGATATTTATCATTATGAATAACTTTTATTTTTAGTTTATTTTTTAGCAATAGCATGTTTTGAGGATTCAGACTTTGGAAAAATATACCAAGAACTACTCAAGGACTACTCATAAAGAAACAGTTTTAGGAAGTAAAGAAAAAATGCGTAATTCTTGCAATCACATTCCTTATTGTACTAATTCTGCTAATCATCAGCAACCAAAAGACAGAAAGGATTTCTGCACATATATTTTAAAAGTTGAAAAAACATTTTGAATTTTTAATTCCATAAATAGACAGAGCATTCAACTAATATTAGTATTTCTGGCAAAAACAATGAGGTTATTGTATTAGTAGAAATGTAACATTAGCGACCTGTGGTTTGTAATCTTCGGTTACCTTGGTACCCAGGTGACTTGTCAGTCTACGGGGAACAGAGTAGCTGTTACTGGAGCTCATGACACTGGCTGCCTCGTGGTCCAGTCGAGCAGCGGAACCCTACAGATTTAAACAACAATTTGGTGTGAGACAGTCTAACCAGAACACCAACTATTGCCTGATTCAATTTCAGCATTGTGCGACAGAACTATATTTATAATAATGAACCAATAGCAAGTATTTTGGTTAAGAGAGGTAATCCCCACTACTCCCTCAACATAGTTTACATGTTATGATTAAAATAACTGGTTTTATTATCCATGTTCCTTAAATTCAATACAAGAAGAGATACATTTTTCAGTGCGAATCTGCTCTAATTGCTATTTTCACTGAGAACAAGGAGAGTTGACAATGATTTTTTTTTCTCAGTTGAAAAAAAAGAATCACCTTCTAGTTTGAATTGTCTGTATCAAAAGCAAATTACAGTTGGGTGAATCAGGTTTTTTCAGTTCTTTTTAAATGAAGAGTATCAGAGTTGTCTAAACATTCATCTGAGGAACTGAAAAATAACAGAGAGATGCAACACGGACCCTTCTTATGCAGATCCGCTCTTTCCAATTCCTATTTTATATTACTTCATTTTTCTCCTTTTATACTTCTCTGCCTTTCACTACTAAGATGACCCAGGAAAGTACATGATTGAATTCTGGAAATTCACATCTTCAATCATCAAATTTTCAGTGTTCATGTTATTACAAAACCAATTAGCTTCAGACTATTCAGTTAAAACTTTCGACACTCCACTTAATACTGATTGCTCAAAAAAATGAAAATATACTGAGCCGGTTTATCAGAAATAAATGTTATGTCCAATCCATTAAGCCTACTCTCTCTGGACTTGCACTGAAAGGGAATAATCCCCAGATGTCTCCTAGAACACAGATTCTGAGCCCTGGATCTATTAACCACCAGGAGAAAAGAATACAAATATTTATGCATTTTTATGACACAAAGTTCTGAACTGCTTAAATTCTAAACTTAAAATTGGGAATGAATGAATGAATCCTCCAGTTGCATAAGGCAATCCTTTCTTCCATGTAAGGTATCTGTTACCCTAAAACCTCTCGATTCATACACTGTAGACAGAAAATACAGCCACAATACATTAATTATTTAAATACATTATGCTTTCAACGCCGAAGCAGTGTTCAATTATTTTTCTCCCCAAACAATAAAGCTGTCATAAGAATTAAGAGTGAAAGCCTCAAGCAATTGCTCAGATATAACAGAGGAAACTGAATTCCAAATGGTGATCAAATATATTTCAACAGCAAAATTATAGGCTGTCCTTTATGTTTAATGAAATCAAATTTTCGAGCCAAACCACAATTTCTATCCTTTATGAAAAATATTCCCATATGAAATACTTTTAGAAGGACTTAAATAATTCTCCTTCCGTAAAGTAACTGAAGTATTTTACATAGGAATTCAGCTACCAAAAATATACTGTGAAGTTTTAAGAACTCAAATTACTAATGTATCTCAAACACAGTTAGAGATTTTGAAAAGAATGAATATTACTTCACTGTAAATAAATCTAAGTATTTTTAGTCAAAAAAAGAAGTCCCAAACTTGGGTAAATATCAGTTTTAAGAAGTAAATAAAGGAGAATCAAATGTAGCCCTCTGAGTACTCCACTGCTAATGTATTTCACTAATAAAGGAACAACAATGAAACATTATTTAATAATTTTTATCACCCTTCAGCTTACTTCCACATTAATATTTCTGCAGAAAAATATTAATGAAAAAACTTACTGTTTGGTTCTTTTCTTCTTTAAATCACTAGATATTATCTTAAATATCAAATTCAAATTCTGAAATTTTTCTGATAATAAATCATACTCCTAACAATACTGTTCACTTAGAATAATACATACATATATAGGCAGTCACTCTTGTTACTTCCTTGCTAATATTAGGCTCCTTATTTAAACAAAATAAAACCTCTGCCTACATTATGGAATGTTTACACTTCATCCAATTAAAAAATTTATTTCTATAAATGTATGAAATTCCTCCCTTTCAGAAGAGACGATGAAAAATGTCAATCCTTTAAACATGAACAGGTACACAAACACAATAAGGTATATGCTAAATTGTAAGCACTGTATATTACAAGCATGGAGTTGTACTTAACTGTATATTTCAATAAACAAAATAATTGATTTACCTGACCAGTACCAGTAGTTGCCATGCTGATTTCTGCTGCTCCTTGACCTTCATTCTGCCTCTCTGTATCATGTGAGCCTGTATCATGCTTACTTTGAGGGGCCCTCTGTTAATATAAGAGTTTATGAAATCAAACGCAGAAATAAAGTGCATGTTAGCATTCAAAGCTCTCTCAACTCTAAATGCATCAAGGCTGTATCCGCACAAAGCCACTGAACAGTGCTTTGTATTTCACAGCCCTCGCCCCAGTAATTAACAGCGGAGGCTGAGTGCCTTAGCAAAACTGCAAGATGAAAGTGAAGCATGTCCTCGGAGGATTATAGCCCTGCAAGACAAAGGATTTGCAGGGAGACACAGCAACACCCTTCTCCACCAGCTGTGCTCACATGGCTCTCAGAAATGTAACAGAATTGGAGCAAACAACTGTCTTCTCTGCAATGTCACATGATCTGTGCATTTACTGGAGACTGAGACGAGCACGGATGAATTAAGCTCCACATTCGAGCGCAAACACTTAATGGGTGAACAGAAGGATACATACTCAGTGAGAATTCTAATGGCAAACTGTGCAGAGGTGACCAGGTTACCATAAATAAAATTTAAACAATTGATCAACCTAATCATATTATCAAACGGAGTAAAAAGATGCAGCAAGCTGACAGAGATTCAGTGTTCTATATAACCACACTGCTGTCACCACCACTCACATTAAAAAGGGAACACAAAAATGAAGAGTTACTCGCCTTACACCGTCGGCAAAACTCCCTCCCTTCTCATTCACACCAGTTTTGTGTTTACTACGTGCTATTTACAAAAGAAGCGGCTTCCCAATCTCAACCCCTTCCCCAAAAACACCAGTGCAAAAAATCTGTCAACACAATACTCAAATTAGTTTATAACTACAAAGCAATTCCTAACAGCTGCCAGGGCTTACTGCCCCTGAATGCAGGTGCACGCTCCCATCAGGTACTGAACACACAGGCTTTACTGCCCCCGGAGCCCTCAGCAGGGCTGCGCTGTGAAACCCGCAGGTTCACTGCAGAGATTTTCCTGGTTTGGCTACTGGAACCACCGAGAGCGAGAAGTGCAAGCTGTCTGCTTCGTGCAGACCAGCCCAAGGGAGCTAACTGCAACACCAGAATACCCAGCCAGAACGGGGCTGCTATTTCTGATTGTTTTTCACATGCACACACCATTAAACTTTATATGTTTTTTTTTACATACACACATTATTAAATTACATACACATATTTTAATACATATATGTATAAATATATTTACTTCTATTGTGAATATATCTCCATTGTAAAAATATCAGTATTCACCTCTGACAGACTAAGCATGTTAGTGGTTATAAAGACAGCATAACCATGACAGAGGTGCCCTGACCCTTCTTTGCATCATCTACCTCAGTTGGGACCTCTGCATGAAAATGTGTGAGTGACCAACCTCAACATCTACAGATCCAGAGTATGTGAGCGACAGCAAATGCCATTATCTCTACACGTGGCACAGCAGCTAGAGATTGGCACACAGGTCCACTGTGCTGAACAGCATCACCTACTTTAGGATGTGACCTCTGAAGAACTGTGAAGCCCTATGAACTCTGTTATTTCAGCAGACAGTTTCTTGTAACCTTATTGAAGTTTTCACTAAAGTGGCTATGAAATGGATGAATAATAAAATCTCATTTATGTAACATGTGATAACTGTAAAACTGGTACAAAATGCTAACACTGCTTTTTGAAAAGCCTGCTCTAGAACCGATGGTCTCCAAGCCATTATCTAGTATGAACTACATAGCGTATCTTCTCTACTAAGAAGGGTTATATTTTTTTCTTCTAAATCTGCCCATTGAAAGCACCAGGGAGATGTAGGTAAGATAACTCTTTCTCATGATTTACCTGAAAAGGCCTTGGTAAAACTGAAATAGAGTAAATCTTAATAAAATTTCCACTTCTCTGCTTTCTGAAGAAACCTCCTTTGCAGTTGTTCATTTAAACAGCAAGAGCGTTCATTTTCAGGAAGCATTAGCTGTGTTTACTGGCCTCTGTCACTGCTGAATTCTGGAAGCGTACTATGAAAGTAACTTTTAAGTTTTGGTGTAACTGAGTATGCCTGCTCAGTTTTGCAGCAAAATGGTAAAAAATTGCAAGTTCCTAAAATAGGAAGACTGAAAGACAACCTCCATCTTGTTACTATACTCTAAAGGGAACAGCAGTTATCACTTGTCAATTAATACTTTCTCTCTATTTACTAGTGAAAAAAGATAAATCTTTGGGTAATTTCTGAAGTTTGCAAGAAGAGTAGGCCTTGATCCGTGTTGCTAAGATAACTTATTAAACATAATTTTACTGAGTGCTTTGAATAAATGAATTGCCAAAATAGTTCCTTGTGTAGTTATGTAATAATGGCTTTTCTAGGATTAAGACACGTCTACATCACAATACACATCTACTGCATTAATTTTTGTGTATTAAAAATAAAGATACATTGTTATTTTCTAAATATACCAAAAATGTTATTTTACCATAACCACATAGTAGATCCAAAAAATCTATATACATAAAAGTAATGTAAGACTGTAAAATACAAGAAGAATGCAATTGACAAAGCCAAGAAAGTTTAAGATTGAGACTATTTTCATGTAATTTAATCATAAAGGAAAAAAAAAAAACTAGTAATTAAATACTTAATGGCACTGCTCACCATCACGGTGCATTATCATAATATTTTAGAGCTTGCTGAGCATAATCTCTGCACAAAATAAAACCTTTACCTTTTTTATCTACAGCATCATTGTTTAATGGAAACACTTCATATATTTCTAATGACAGCTGTTATGACAGAGGGTTTGTATCACTACAGCGAATTAAAAACCCCATGGGATATACTTGCCAAGAAATTGCCTTTTTTCCCCCCCTTCCTTTTAAATACAATTTCAGATTTGTACCTGGCAGCCAACACTCCATTTTTGGGGGGTCTAACTTGAAAGTGGATTAGAATGTGCTAAAAAATGGGCTTAACTTTTTTTTTTCTCTGCTGCTTTATCTCCCCTAGTTATTTTCTACGGTACACTACCATATCTGGTCACATACTAAAACATCTACCTTATTTAGATTCTACAGTGAGTGGCATCACCACAGGGGACAAGGAAATCAGCCGATAAGCTATGGAATTTATTACTGCTCTTATTAACTCCTTATAACCATGAAGAGGACATTCAAATTGGAACACCATATCAGGCGCGGTATTAGAATATGGTAAATGCCTCAGGTTTATATTTTTCAGTTATACAGACTTTGAAATTTGACTGCTACTACCTCTTTTCTTGCCACCAGGCAATGTCAGTACAGAAGAGAAAGCAGTGACAAAGCAGTCAATTATTTGGGGTTGTTCAGACTAAGTTCATACCTCTTGTACAGTATTGCACATTATTACATTTAATTCTCAACGCCAGTAAAATTCTTCTCCTTAAATGATGAGTATGACATCTTGCATCACTTCTCTCCCTGCAGCTTGACCTCTGCCTAGCACTGCGTGCTCAGCCCCGCGATGAACGGACGCCTCCCGCTCCAGCACCACTCCCAAGTGCTTGCGATACCTGCTCCTCTCTGCGCGTTGCTTGTGGGTCTGCGCCCGCGCCGGGGCTGCCATGGGGGAAGACACGCAGCGTGTGGGCAGGTGGGAAGAATCTGCCAGGGAGAAACCACGTCTGCGGGAAGCCGAGAACGGCCGGGCAGTGCCCTGCTGCCATGTCACCCCGTGCGCCCCCAGCACGGTGCTACCTGCAAAAGCTACGGGTGCCACTTCAGCCACCTCCTACCTCCTCGTGCATGGGCTGGAACGCTTCCCTAGGAGATCAGGCAGCATACGGAACACCCGCAGCAACCACCACGGGTTTTATGATGGACGGCATTTTTCTCTTGGTGTTGGGAAGGATTTTGATAGCTTTCATAATGCATTTTTTCAAAGTACATGCAAATTATTTTAAAAATAATGCTAATTACATTTGTGTGGTAACTAGCACATGCAGAGACAGTCTATGCAGAGAAAACATTAGTATGGTAAATTCTGTGCTGCCCTCTCACATTACTGAAAAATGGTATCAAATTTGATGTTGAATGAGAGAATGCAAGAAATGAAAATGAAATGTATTCCCAGGAAGGTTGTACTAGATGATCTCTAAAGTCCCTTCCAACCTTAATAATCTTATGATTCTTATGAACCTGAAATAAAAAAGAAATAATAGGCACCCTTCTCACATGATAAGAATATCATAATTTTCTCTAAAAAATGGTGCTATCAGGCAAGGCAACTTCTTGGAAAACTACTATACAGTAACACGGTACAGTAAAAGTTTATGACAAAGCATGGGTAAGAACCTGACCTTCCTGCACTATAGCTCTGAACCTCTAAGACAGAGAAGTATCCCCTCTCCTCTTATCACTGTCTTGCTCACCTTCTGTTCTGTGCCCTGGGGCCTGCCAAGGCCTACAAAAGTATAATCCAGAAATGTATCATATTTACGCAAAAGGAAGCCATAGTTTTATACTTCTGACTTCTCAGCACTAAGAGATTTTATTATTTCTAATGTGTTTTTGTTATGCACAAAAGCTAGTATGTTGTATACCATCCGAATAAAACAGAAATACCATCACAGGGAACCTCACCAACCAACCCACAGCGCTCACCAGGTGAGGTCTATACCAAATACCTTCAGGCCCGTAGCTCTGTTAACAGATATTGGCCTTAAGAGCACATCCAGTAACTGGAAGAGCCTATTATGTGAGACATCATCATCACCACCATCATAGAATGCTTAAGGTTGGAAGGGACAACACGTTATGTGAGCTAACAGCTCAGTAAAGAGAATGTGAAACCTTTTTGTAAAGTACTGACAAAGCCTACATTAATAAATAAATGCTAATGAATGCTGGAGACTTAGAATCCCAATTTCTTTTTCTAGCTGAAGAACAAAGTTGCCTCCAGACTACAGATTTCACAGTCAAGTATATTAATTCACAAAGGTTTATGGTTAACAGGGGAGCTTGCTTGTTTGAAAACAAGCTCTAAAAAGTGACCTACTGCATCTGCTCAATTATGGTAACTTGTGAAAAGAAAGGAAGATATGTAATTTTACTCAAAATTAAGCATTACAAAACTTAACTTCATAACAAAACTACAGATAAAAACTTCTAATTGCTTCTTCCTTGCATCTGCTGGATTATACCTTGCATGTGGTTGCTATATTCCTCTGTGACAGTATCTGCTTGCAAAACCTAAAAGTCTGGTTAGGAGACTCAAAGCCCAGATTCAGTTGCTTAAATGCCTAATGCAGTTGTGCAAGTCTGCTCATCAGATTCTAGCAGACTTGTACAAGCCAAATGTGGAAATTTATTACCATGAAAGCAGAAGTCGCTTCCTCCAAAAATCCAATCCCTCTTTTAGCACACTATTCTGACAGAAGTATATGAAAAAGTTAGGAATTAAACTGAAGGAAGATGGTAAAAGGTCAGAGAGAAAATACTGTCATTTTTTATGATAATTGCATTCTCTAAAATGTTTAGTGACTTTTAAAAGCTGAAATCTATGGCACAAATCAAACAAAATCACAACTGAATTAGCTAAAGTGTCAAAACCCTAGACAACTTTAATTATAAGCACTGTAATTATCAGTTTCCATTGTCTACCTCATTCCATTCCTTCCACATGCAAACACACAATTCTGGAATTACGAAATCATTTTCTTCAGGACAGTGGAAATATCTATATCATCTTAGCACTTTAAAGTTGCCCTGAACTTTCATGGTAGCTAGCTTGAATGAAGACAAACTGTAAAACATTCAGGTTCAACATACAATTTACTATTAAGTCACAGGCACAAGCAATGTAGTTGAGTTTGCAAGTTAATCTGCAAGGTAGTGAATGTACCTGTGAAGGTAGTGTTTACTAATGGCAGTCACTAGTAGGAACTTTACTTAGAGGAAATACTGTCTTATACTTCTTAATATAGGCCCCAATACTTAAACACTAAAAATTTGCAAGACTTCTATAACAAAATCTGACAGAAACTGTACTCACCATTTTTTGTTAACTTCTCTCAAAGGATAAGCCAACCATGAAGCTCCTTATCAGAAATTCATATTTAGAAAGAAAAGTCCTAGTAATTTATATAATTTGCTAAAAGCAAGACTCAGTCTTTATGATGTATTGTACTTTGGCCTTCTTACTGGAATTACCGATATGCCAATATTGATGAAAATACAACAGTAGCACAGAGAACTCTGGTAACAAAGTAACATACTGCCACCTTTCATTCCCAAGACAGTTACACCATGCCTACATACACTGACTAAATCATGAACAGTGTCATCGCTTGCTGATGCAAGTTAGATCGTCCATCAGTTTACTCATTTAAGTCTTTTTTTTTTTTTTAAAAAAAAAGGACACATACCCTATCAAAGGAAGGCAAGTAATGGTTCACTAACCTCTGCTTCAGCTGCTTGTGACTGCAGGAGCTGCCGTATACGAACGATGTCCTTCTCTATCTGCTGAATCCTTGCCACTCTCACCTGAAATTAATGTATTTTCATGTTTGATTTTTATTTAAAAATTCCTTATAGTCACTACAGAATGACAATATGAAGAGTTGGTCACAAATACAGCTGTCTACAAAACAGAACTACTTCATTCTTGTGGTAATTGGAGAAATAGGAATAGAATACAGTCATGATGGTAAACACCTTCAAAACAGAATGGGTAGTTGGGTTTTTAATATAACTGACACTAATCTGGATGTAAGATTAGATTTATACACAGTACCAGTTCAGGCATAGAAAAATGCTTCAGTAAACTCACCCACTTTTTCTTTTTCAACTGAAATTAATGTCCTGTGCAGTTTTTTATCAAATTATTTCACTCCCCTCAATGTTAAAATCCCACTTGCACTTAACAGATTTGAGAGAAATGTATATCTACAAAGTGCTTTGAAGGTATAAAATGCTGGCTGACTTTCATTATTTTCAGTGATTATGATGCTTTGATAGATCTCCCCAAGCACAGCCTCTGAATATTTTCCATCCTTAAAAATCTCTAAGAATGCAAAGGATTAGTAAAAAGAAAACTACATATTATTTTAATGGCTTTTCTGTGACTTTATAGGTATCTCTGAATTAATCTGAGTCTTTTATAGCCATTTTGCCACTCATTTCCCACTGCAATCATTTTGTGGTTAGTAATTGCAATGCAAAAGAAAAACAAACAAACAAAAACCTCAAACCCCATCAAGTTTTACAGGATACATGTACTTCATTTAAGTTATAGTTTGCACAGGACACATTTTAATTCTGTGAAAAAAATGAACACAGTAAGTGATGCATTCCTGTATCAGCTTGAGGATAAATATGCATTATTAGACTTTAAAACTGCTCAGTCCTTAATATAGCAGCATGCAAACTGAGCAATGAACTGTTAAATACAATTTTTCTTGTATAAGCCCTGTTAAAAAGAGGTGCATAGTTAAAACCAAACCAAATAAAACAAATAAAAAAAGATCTTGACCATTTTACTTGAATAATGATTACAGGGCTATGCTAAAAAAGAAAAGGCATTGCAAGGATTAACATTGTGACTCTCCTTATCTTCGTAAACTGAAAGTGGAAATAACCAAACTTAAAAAAAGCTATAAATGACAATGCATACACTTGGAACAGAAACACAAAAGAATTCAGAGGTTTTAGAAAGATGAAAGAAAACATAATCATCAAGTAGAAGTAACTCTTGACATATGCAGAAAAACATCTTAAATATTAACAGTTAGTGGATGCAAAATTACAATATGCAAAATTACAAATAGTAACCAATAAACTAGATTTGAACTTCTAAAGTAAAATATCAGAAAAAAAGGTCAGTAATATTTTAACAACACAAACAATGGCCTCACCACAGTATGAGGTAGACAAATAATCCACCTTCTTTCTCTCCTGGATCAGGAAATTCTTAAGTATAAGGAAGATAAACATATAAAAATATATATAAAAATATATTACTGGGAATAACTGTAAATTGGTGATATGATGCATGACTGATAGAACACATCTTCTTTGTAATTAATCAGGCTTTAATTGTTCACCAAAAATTGCTATGTAACTAGCAACTTACTTCATAAAGGGACAAGAGAAACAAGTATGTGAATGCATTATGTACACCTAAAAGTGGGGTTTTTTTCTTTTGTAGAAGAAAGTAATGTAAAAATTATGTAATTTGTCCAGTATCAACAATGAAGTCCTCAAAATGGCCAAGAATTCAACCAACACATTAAATTTTAGTATAGAGATACAAAGATCAGATCTTTCTGCTTATTTATTATTTGTATTGCAGGGGACCTAAGGTGTGCAGTTGGCCAGAAGGGTATTTTGCACCAAATGCTGTACAAACAGGAAGAAAAACATTCTGGTTATAGCAAGAAAATCACAGGCAATATCGGGTTATCTACTCTTACAGAATAAATATTACGGATATTATATATCTATAATGCCGAGTTGTCTGCAATCAAGTCTTCCTGCAAATCAGTTTTTATTGTGTTCCACATCACGAACAGTCATGGAAGAATGAAAATACAGAGCAAAAGGAAAACTAAAAAACAAACAAGTTCACCCTACTTGCCAGAAATGAATAATTCTGATTATACATTAGAACACTACAGAGGAATAATCTAGAATCTAATGTTTGCTCACATATTTACATATCATTTAAGTTGTATATAGTTCTGGCACCTATCTTTGACATAATGAAACCTGGGGGAACTACCAGCCATATTCAAGAGAAGAGCACATGAGGATATAGTTACTTCCTCTTGCTGTTTTATAATCTCATGGAAATTACAGTATCTATTAGGATTGCATATACGTTATAGACATGTACTGGGAATACAACAGTTGGGATAACTACCATCAGGATGGAAGATCATGGTTTTCTCAGTTAATGTATGCCTATGGTTGTCTCCTTCCTCAATCCAAAATTTTTAAAAAAAGAACGTAAGGAAGTAGCTCCTTTATTGACACTTTCACAGACATAGAACTGCAGACAAGTTTCTTCTTAGAAGGATTTCACTTATTCTCCTGCTTGAACACACTTAAAATTTGGCCAGCTGCGCAGAGGACCCATTTAGCTCACTCCACCTTCTGGCTGAGGCTTGTTGAAGAACGTGCTCAGCCGTTCTGGCGCAGCAGCTCGGCAGCAGCTCCGCACTGCCGTGCTCCACAGCAGCTCCGCGCTGCCGTGCCCCGCAGCAGCTCC